TAGACATCAGTAGCGTCCTTTTAACTCGGTAACCTGTACCAGTGTAACATAAAAACATAGCCCTTTCCCGATTAGGGCACGAACCCACGATCAAGCCGGTTCAAAAGCAATAACCTCAACCACAGTTGAAAAGTTTTATGATAATAACTTCGTGAAATATGATATACATATGGTGGCTAATTTGTGCCATGTCATAAATTCGCTACCGGGTCGCCAGACGAAAATACGACAAAGTAACGACTTTGTCTTATTTTCGTGTTTTCGTTTGGCGCCCGCGCAGAGCGGAAGTGCGACAAAGTGGTCACTGTTGTAATTTTGTGCCCGCAGATAAAATACGACAAAGGGATCCTTTCGTGTTTTTCTCTGGAGGCTCTGCGAAGCTAAAGTAAAATACGACATGACACAGATCAGCCACCATATATTCAAAACAGTTATTATTGAGTTTTAAATATACTCATTGCAGTAATATATTTTAATAGTTTTTGATAGCTTGCCAAAATATCATCATTTCCATGAAATAGGAAATTTCACGTGTAATTAAATCTTAGTAAGAAATTTGACTAAAAACTACTTGAATCCTAAATATATAAATAAACTATTTATATCAAGGCAGATGATATAACAAATATTCGGTTTTCCAATATAAGTTTTTTTGACTCATAAACCGCGCATGATTATATATACTATTCTGATTTGTTTCTATTTTGGGTTATTTAGTTCTTAAACTAGGGTTTTTTTCCAATTTATCAAGTAAAAGTACACATAAATTAAGTAAATTCATAGATTTAAAAGTAAAAGTACATTATTTATATACTTTGATTGTAGAAACCGAAAATACAAAATTTCTACAAAATAGTACCTGTTGACATTAAGTTGACTTTGCTTACTTCACCGTTTACTTTTTATTGCCAAAATAGAGAAGGTTTAATGAACAGTAATTGTAGATGTAAGTTACGGTCCACACCCCTAGCACCGACTTAAACAAATTGACTATTATTGTCATACATATTTTCAATAATAATTGATTTGGACTTCAAAATATATACTTCCGTTTTACATTATCAAAGATAACACTCTTAATTTGACAAATAAACAAGAGCAATGTTTGTTTGTTTGTTTGTTTGGGTTTTAGGTCACACCGACACAGTACAGGTCGAATGGCGACGTTCCAGCTTTACTTGTGGAGGAAGACCTCAGGTGTCCTTCCGTGCAATAGTTCAAGCACAAACGACCACCGACGTTCCTTAGGCTTGCTGGATAGCTTCCTCACATAAAAGACTCCAAAGTCCCTGTCGGGATTCAAGCCCACAGTGGTGAGGGGCAAAACAAGAGAAATGACTGATAAACAAATTTATCAAGGGGAGGGGAGATGCAGGGGTATGTTCAACGGTACATCTACCATGCATCTACACTGGGCCCCACCGTTTCAATTTTTTTGCGCAGGTGCGCGTAAACTTGTACAAGAAATAAAAAGAAGAAATGTATAGGTGGAATAACTTAAACTTAATTAAGTATAAATAAAACATTAAATAAGCAGTTAAAAGTTTAATACAGCCTAGTGGCGCATTTTAGCGGGAACAAGACTCCCCCCCCCCCCGACACTTCAACCCTCAGATTTTGAAGACAATTCACCCCCCGAAAATCAGTAAGACACTTCATTCCCTCAACCCTTATTTTAGTGATTAAAGTGATTACCGTAATCAAATGATCAAATGTGATAAAAAATACCTACCAGTTTTTTTTTTGTTTTTTTTTTTACATAATCCATGTTGGTAAAAAAATATTGTTGACTAGAATAATTGTAAATTATTGTATACTAGACCACTGCTCACCCTAAATCACTTGTTTTCTTTTATCCATCTAGATTTCCGTTTTGAGTAGAAATAATTGATTGCATGAATGAGCTTGCTTCCTGCAGGGTCTTTCATATAATATAAAATGTTCTGGAGACGTTGTGTTTGTGGGCTCGCACGCGTGCGTGCGTGTCTGCGTGTGTGTGTGGTCCATGTTTAATAAGGGTCCTTCCGCCTGATAGAGCACAAAAAGCAGCTTTCGCTGTCGAGTAAGGACACCGGACATGCCACCAGCCATGCCCTTAAAATGTTAATTTTGAAGTGATAATTCACCTCCATGCAATTGTCACGGTACATTGTATATTAGCCAAATTTATTATTTATTATCCACTGTACTGAGAATTTAAATGTACAGGAACCTGAGACAATAAGAGAAAAGAAGGAAGCCCTTAAAGGGGCTGTTGGTGTCAAGCAAAGGACCTGCCTTTCAAGCCTTTATTCATACTAGGGGCTCACGCACTCTAGTACACTATCCTCGTCGACTCTGCTTAGTTTGTAAGGCAACTCCTTTTTGCATTAGTCAGGACACCGGCGTCCAATTTCTGGTCTTTTTTCGCCATCCGAAGTCATCAAATCTTCTGTCAATGCCCTGTGCCTTCTCTGCGACGTTTCCGCTCCGAGGGGAAGTGAGGTTCTGGAGACGGGCCGATTTTACGAAAAACAGATGTATCGAGCCACATGATAAGGTTATCTACCGACTGTGATCTGGCAGAGTGTATCACTATCAAAATCAAATAATAAGATAATGTTTTGTGCAATCGATCAAAGAATTACTGCAAACAAATCCTGGCTATATAACACAAAAGTTTTTTATTGAAAAAGTGATAATAAAGTGAATATAGAAATTGATTTTACAGAGAGAAAATTTAAAAAAAAATTATAAAGTTTCACGGTTTCATTTACAAAAAAAAAATGATGTTTAATTTGGTGCATTTTGAAAATGTCGCGTTTTTTTCTCAACAAGCAGTGTATATAGATTTCAACAGATCATGGCTTTAAAACATTATTTTCCAAAATTGTTGCTTAAATAAAAAATTTTTTTTGCTCTTGAATTTAATTTTTCGCCCTTTTTTCCTTAAACGCCTGTGGCCATATGTGTTCGGATCCTAAGATATATTCCCGGGGAATATTTCTTATATCACCCTTATCATAACTCTTGCTTAACTTAACAATGTTTTTATTTGTGTGTAAGAGAGATAACACCTACATACCTCCGTATTTAATATTGCACTAGTTAATTCCCTTTGACCATTTTTTTTTTAAATTTTAAAATAGGTGAACATATGGATCACTATCAAATAGATAGAAATTATTGTTCACAAAGCTTCATAACTACATTTCATAGTTTAAAATATGTACTGTTAAAATGTAGAGGCTTGGACAGAAAGTAACATGGTTAGTCCAAGATAGAGCACATGCCTAATTGTATAAATGTCTCAACTTAATGTAGAAATGTATAAAATCATTCTTGAAATGTTTTTGTTAACTTTATTGTTTTTGGTATTTCGGTATAATAAAATAAATGAGCCGCGTCAAGACAAAACCAACATAATGGGTTTGCGACCAGCATGGATCCAGACATGCCTGCGCATCCGCGCAGTCGGATCAGGATCCATGCTGTTCGCTATCAGTTTCTCTACTTGTAATAGAGTTGGTAAGCGAACATCATGGATCCTGATCAGACTGCACGGATGCGCAGGCTAGTCTGGATCCATGCTGGTCGCAAACCCAGTGTTGGTTTTGTCGTGACGCGGCTCAAATACACTAGACTGTTGGGGTTATATACCTGTTCTCGGGTTATATACCAGTTCTCTGGTTGACAATATCCTCCAATATCAACCACAGGGGCTCGGCACAGTGTTGGGATAGTATAAAGAGTAATTCTAGAAAAAATATATACTGTATAATTATATAATATACAGAGAAAAAGATACTGTATATAATATATAGACTATCATACATGTATATACAGTATTTATTTTTTCTAGAATTACTTTTTACACTATCCCAACACTGTGCCGAGTCCCTGTGGTCAAAATACATTATTTGCTGGTCTCTGACCAATAAAATATTCAAGATCGAGTTTGAACTTAGAAATCTTCATAACCTTGATCAGTCCTAGTTGTTTTTTCCTACATTTTGTTTGTATTATATTCTCAGCATGTTTTTTTTTTGTGTGTGGCCGCCAGAATGTGGATCGGACCATCGGTTTCTCGCAAATGAAAGGGGGACCCTCGGTTTCTCGCATATGAAGGGGGATCCTCGGTTTCTCGCATATGAAGGGGGGACCCTCAGTTTCTCGCATATGAAGGGGGGACCCTCGGTTTCTCGCATATATAGGGGGGACCCTCGGTTTCTCGCATATGAAGGGGGGACCCTCGGTTTCTCACATATGAAGGGGGGACCCGGGGTTTCTCTCAAATGAAAAGGACGCTCTCCTACTAGATCCATCAACTGGTAGACATTAAAACGTTGCTCATCATAAATTTGAAAGTTTGTGGTCAGGTAACATCATCTATATAACATATAGATAATCTAAAGCTTTGTAATGATGTTCCCTTTAAAATTCGAATGCAATTTAGAAGAAATATTTGTGTAATAGTTACACAGCCAACAGTTTCCTTAAAACAAAACACTTTTGTTTCAAAAGAGAAGATGCATACGTGTATGAAGCAAAATGACAGCTTTCTGACACAAGATATTATTATCAGTGCACGATAACAAAAGAAGGGTGAGTGGATTCCTGAATAACTTAAAAACGACTATACAGAATTATGACAGGAGAAGTAAAAGTGGCCACAATTATTAGCTTCTAGAAACACTTTAAGCTGAATTAACAATCATTTGTAGCATGAAGGTTCACTTCGGTTTCCTAGATAGTCCGGTACAAATGAGAAGGGCCATATTGACTTTCGTCTTTAGTCGTGCAATTCCTCCGTGCACTTTTTAAGGCACAAGCAGGCACCAAAGTACAAACACTGACCTTCCACAAGCTAGCATATGAAATAATCCATAGCTCCTGATGGGAATCAAACCAACATTGTTTAGGGGCACTTGGTTCGAAGTCAGTAATCATAACCACTCGGCCACAAAGGCCGTGCTAAAACATCTGAAAGGTTTTTAGAAAAATAAGGCTAACTATATGTATATCATGCATTGCTATTTTTATTTTTGTTTTTAAACATGTTATTTTATATTGCATTAACCCACGCATTAACTCATAAAACAATTATTTTATACACTTATCTAACAAACATTCATCTATAAAGTAACACACTAATTCAAAATGACATAAATTCACTCAAGAAGCATACTGTTAAAACATGTAAAAAAATCCTCATTTTTATTTCTGCATTCATATAATTGAAGTGTAAAAGTAGTATACTGTACATTAAACAATTTAAAATCACATGCTTTTTTTTCTTCAATCAAAGAAATATAATGTGAATAATAATAAAGGCAAACAAGATAAAAAAAAATATGTTTCTTTTAAGCAAGAAATTACTCCATATTTTCAACTTCATTAGCGGAACGTATTATTTCAACTACAATATGATAACAAGAATTACTAACTTTTTTTCTAAAAAAAAAGAAAAACGAATCCCCCCCCACTAAAACCTAGGTGAATGCCTTTAACATTTCAAAACTCGAATAGATATGTATCTTTCATTCTAGCTGTGTTACTACAAGAAGAAATGCAATGTACATACATGTATATAGTTCAAATTTTAAAAATCAAGAGATAGGACTTTGTTGAAAACTAAAATCACTACCTTTAGTGTGAAAATCAATTTTTCAACCTCAGTGACCCCGACCGTGACCCCATCTTATGGTCGAGGTTCACAGAAGGTACCAACACATCAAATATCTAAAGGATAAGTTTATAAATCAAGGTGCTATGAGTAACTGTAAGTTATAGTGGCAGACAGACGGACGGATGGAAAGACAACTCAGCAACTATATGCTCTATCGAAAAATTCTGAGGAAGCATAATAGAAATCATCAGATCATTTTCAAAGACAAACCATGTAAGAATCTGATGGGGGTTACATCTTTCAAAGTAAGGGAGATTGTAAAATTTCATATAATGTACAAATTATATTAACATTTATTCAATTACACAGTGTCAAATGTAACTGTCAAAGTTTGAAGGTCAATTTTATTATATCATACAAATATCATATAAAAGCCAAAATCTTAATTACGTTAACCCTTACATTAACCCCCCCCCCCCCCCAAAAAAAAAAAACAAACAAAAAAAACAAACAAAAAAACAAATTCTATAATGGACATGTCCAATTTTTAAATTTGAAACTTCAGCAATTTTACTATAAATATAGTTATGTTAAATGGTTACCTGCTAGTACTGTAAATGATCAGCTGTGTTAAATTTAATATACATGTATAATCAGTCTCACATGACACACAACAAAACAAAGCATTCTTGATCACTCATCTTAATAATATACAACCCGAAAACACAATTATGAAACCAACATGATACAAAACACAATTGCTTTTAATACACCTAAGTAAAAAAGGTTTTAAAAAAGTATTTTTTGTAACTTCATCTGTGGCAGGCAGCAATGTACCTTGCCATCAACCATATACTGTGTAAGTGGTTAAGCTGCTGATACGGAAATATTGGCGAATTTCATGAATTGACAAAATCGCTAAAATTTTCTCTAGCGTAATATCAACCAATCTGTCATTAAAATTCTACCCTTACATGATTGGCTAATATTTCTTCATGCGAAATGTCTGGAATTTTAAATTCGCGAACTTTTTGGAAACATCCGCTTTTACAGTTATTTAATTATATCAACTATCAAAAATGATAAATCATGTTTGTTTTAAAAAGTTCACTCGTTGACGCTTAACCTGCTGAATTTCTTAAAAGTACTGGTCAAGTTTGCATATCTATTTTGTGGGGTGGCGACAGTCCATTATCAATTATGAGATATTTATATGGAAATACAAAGTTAGCCAATTGTATAAATCTTTGTCAAACTGTACAGGTATGCAGGCTGGCCTGGCTTTATACTAGTGGCAAAGTCTAATTATCATTAGGCAAGGGTAAAGGTTAACCTTGACTGACTTACTCCGCAAATAAGAATATTTTGGGTTTTTCCAAGCTAATCAGGGGGTACAAACAAATTTTTACAGTTATAGCTTCGAAAATAAGTGACGCACAATGACTTATCTATTGTAAGCAATAGTGCTTTATGAAGCTGTAATGGTAAAAGTTTGTTGCTACTGGAAGACTAGCTTGGAAAAATCAAAATTTGCCAAGTTCCGGATAACATCATTAGACCAAACATATATCAAACAAAATTAGTTAAATATTAAATATATCTAAATATGGAAAAATAAACATGAACTTTTTCCTTTGTGATAATACAATATTTGTAAATGCATCTGTAGATATTTAGTAAGAAAAAAATAATATAATGATATGAAGCCAAAAAAATGGGTTAGTTTACAATAAATATGGAAAATAACCCATTCTTAATATAACTTTACATAACAGTCATACTATTTTCCAACAATGCTACATAAAAATTTCTCCTAAAACATTTAGATACTTAAATTATATTTTAACAAGAATTTTTTTCAGGCTTATAAAATGATAATAATAATTTTCATGTAGAAGTATGTTACAATGTCGAGATATGGCTAGAGAAAAATAAATAACTTTGTAGAACAAAAAAAAATGAATCTCCATGGTTTTATTTCATTCTATTATCACATTTTGTGTAAGTAAATAAGACAAAATCTATAAAACACATTGCAAGTGAACTTGTCATTTTATCTGAAGTAACCTTACATAACACAGCTATGTTAGACGTACATAAAAAGAACACTATGTGTAATATGTAATCTTTTCTAAGACAGAGAAAATTTTTAATTTTTTTTTGTCTCAACTGTAAGAGCAGTTTTTACAGTAATAAGGGACTTAAAAAAAAGACTAGATATTTGCAAACATATAGCATATAAAAGAAAGATGCTCATCCACGGCATCAGATATGATGATTTGTTAATCTTACACTCTTTATGTTTTTAACTGAACTTGTTTAAGAATTTGGATCATATCACTAGTTTTGACTTTGGATCTGGTATTTAGTTTTGAATAATGTCATTAACAAAATAATTGGATGTTAAACATGCAGCAGTACAGACCCAGAAAAAAAACTTCATTTGTAGTTTCCACAAAAATTTCAATAACACTCATGGTGTTTCAAACAAATTAAATCATTAACAAGTCCATCCCTCCTTTATCAAATCAAAATCAAATCAACATTTGACAGCACTGTGAATGAGCACCTTTGAAGCATTTAATGATTGAATATGAAGACATCCAACAGTCATAAATAAAACATTGAAACAAAAAGAAGAAGACCATTTTGTCATTTAGTAATACATCAAAATATGTGCATTATATAGAACAAGGCAGCTGAAAGCATCATCTATAATTGAAACTTGCAAAAGCTTGCCTCTATTTTCAAAGTACATATTAATATATACATGTATATGATGTAAAGAGTAGTATTATAATGTGTGACAGGAAAAATCAATTAGGTGACTGTAAAATAAAAACAAGACTAAATTCGTCTCTTTCGACAAAATCATAAAATTTCATGCCCACAAAATTAAGTGAATTCAGAATAGCTTCCTTATATGAAATAATCCAACATCTTAAACAGAATTCAAACCCACACTAACAATGGGGCAGGTCCTTTGAAGTTCACTACCTAGGGTATACAATTCTGCCACAGAATCCCTTGTACACATTATAATATACCACAACTATACCCTGATACCACTGATAATTTACTAAATGACAAATATAACATGTCTTCTTGTCTTGTAAAAAAAAAAAAATTGAAGATTTTTGTATTCAGAAAACAATAAGCTGGCATAGAATACAAAAATTTACAACAAACAAAAAAATATAAATTGTACATCATTTTTGTATTCCTGTTTATATGAAGAAATACAAAAACCACACAATAAATGTTGGTGGAAATAATTGTAACATGAAGGAAAATTAAATATTTTATGTAACAATTGGGTATTCTCAAATATGTTAATGTAATCTACTAGTACAAATCTATTATCCTAATATTTAATAATCAACAACTATAGAATATCTTACACAGTTATTGTAAAATCATTATCTTTTGTGGGGCAGTAATTTTCATGGTTTTTACGTGTCTGGGTCAGTCCATGAATTTCAGATCTGACAAATTTCATTTTGCCGGCTGTAAAATCATTACATTATTTGTTGATTTATTTCTTCTGAATAAAAAGTCAATCAACCAATTAAAGAAGCCACAAAAATGTTTTTTATGACAAAACCACGAAACTTCATGCCCACAAAATCAAATAAATTCACAGTATATCATATTTTCTTAAGAAATTATAATTGAGCTGTGCCATGACAAAACCAACATAATGCGTTTGCGACCAGCATGGATCTGATCAGGATCCATGCTGTTCGCTTACAGACCCTATAACAAGTAAATAAACTGATAGCGAACAGCATGAATCCTGATCAGACTGCGCGGATGCGCAGGCTGGTCTGGATCCATGGTGGTCGCAAACCCATTATGTTGGTTTTGTCATGATGCGGCTCAATTGCAAAATAACAACTCCAGTACCATAAAGTAATTTCAAACCTCATTTGAGGAATCTTGACAATCTGTTTTCAGTTCAACATTGTAGAGAAAAAAAATCTACACTGTAAAAGCTGCAATATTGTAGGTTCCTATTTCTTACTATTTTAGTCAAGATATACCAATTTATAATTTCTGGTATTTTTTTTTCTCTATTTCATGAGTTTGTACTTTACATTTGAACAAAATTACACAAAATAAATCAACACGCAGCTAACTCTAGAAACACTCCCAATAACAAGCATGCAAAAATAATTGTGTGGATACTATTTTTAGAATAACACCTTACACTGTTCATACACACACTCGTGTGAAATACTCGCTAAAAATATATTTGAAATACCCAATCTGTTAACTATATTTGTAAATAAAGTCTCAAGTATTGCACACAATATAGTTTTCCTCCATGTTAAAATATACTTTACTTGTCTTCATAGTACATCATAATTATACACGGGTCAAAATAACCAACAGTTCCTAGCAAATATTCCTCAAACGCAATTTACAGCTGAACTGTGAAACAGTTCATACATAAATGGCATTTTATACATATTATTGTCTTGATCGATTAATATTTGCTGAAAAAAAACGTTCGTTTTCTTGACCCGTCTATTTCAATTTGACCATCTCTGAGTTAGCCCTTTATCTGTGGCCTGAAAAGAAAACAAAGCAGAAAATATTTTAATTGTTATCAACAAAGGCGATCAGTGATCACATGTGTCGCCTCATGATAGCCAATTGCATGTTGCAGCTACTGTGTAGCAGGAGACACAAAAAATTTTTAACAGGACAAAATGCATTTTTTATTCAAGGGTCATTACTCGGCCAAAAATCTTTCAACCAGAAAACCTGTGTAATATGTGCAAGTACCTGAGCTATAGATCAATCCTGTAAACTTTCATTGCAATTGCGTAAGTCGTATAAGACAAATTTTAAAAATTAAAATCATTAAAGGGCTTTATCTCTGACAAAAATCATTGAACCTAAAATGTTGGTGAGATGCACAACTAGACATGGTATTGATCATTCCTGTAAAGTTTTGATGAAATTGCATCAGTAGTATCTGAGGAGTAGTTCTGACAACACAAAAATGGCACTGTAGAATATAGATACTTCCCCCTATCTGTATATGAGAACGAAATATAGAATTATATGTGTGTCTCTTTTTTAATTGGAATGGCAGGCATATCTTCATATATGTTCATATATCAATACGAACATTTAAAATGATACTTTTTGTTACAAAAATAACAGTTCAACATATACTCTGTAAAAAAATATCCGATATCAAAGTTGAGCTAAGAATGCTGCACACATAGAGTATTGAAATTATACAAATATGGGAAAAATACAAGTAGATTGGGATGATGCAAGTGAAGAGATAAATCAATTTAAACAAGATATGTTTGTAAAACATGTATGCCCCCTATCAGCAGCCAATTAGTCATGTGATAAGGTTATTATGCATGACTTCTGACCCAGTGATCAAACAATTAATAAGGGTTATCAAGTATCTACTGGTCATGACCTTAACCTTTGACCCCTTGACCCAAAACTCAATAGGGGTCATCTGCTGGTCACGACCAATCATCATACAAAGTTTGAAGTTCCTAGGCCTAAGGGTTTTTAGTTAATTGATGAGAAACCGTTTTTACCTACAAGGTCAATGTGACCTTAACCTTTGACCCCTTGACCCCAAAATCAATAGGTCCTCTGCTGGTCATGACCAATCACCATACCAAGTTTGAAGTTCCTAGGCCTAAGGGTTCTTTAGTTATTGATCGGAAAGCGTTTTAACATACAAGGTCAATGTGACCTTGACCTTTGACCCCAAAATCAATAGGGGTCATCTGCTGCTCATGACCAATCACCATGCCAAGTTTGAAGTTCCTAGGCCGAAGCGTTCTTTAGTTATTGATCAGAAACCGTTTTTACTTACAATGTCAATGTGACCTTGACCTTTGACCCCTTGATCCCAAAATCAATAGGGGTAATCTGCTGGTCATGACAAATCACCATACCAAGTTTGAAGTTCCTAGGCCTAAGCGTTCTTAAGTTATTGATCAGAAACTGTTTTTACTTACAAGGTCAATGTGACCTTGACCTTTGACCCCTTGACCAAAAACTAAATAGGGGTCATCTGCTGGTCATGACCAATCATCATACAAAGTTTGAAGTTCCTAGGCCTAAGCGTTTTTAGTTAATTGATCGGAAACCATTTTTACCTACAAGGTCAATGTGACCTTGACCTTTGACCCCTTGACCCCAAAATCAATAGGTCATCTGCTGGTCATGACCAATCACCATACCAAGTTTGAAGTTCCTAGGCCTAAGGGTTCTTAAGTTATTGATTGGAAAGCATTTTTACCTACAAGGTCAATGTGACCTTGCCCTTTGACCCCTTAACCCCAATATCAATAGGGGTCATCTGCTGGTCATGACCAATCACCATACCAAGTTTGAAGTTCCTAGGCCTAAGGGTTCTTTAGTTATTGATCCGAAACCGTTTTTACCTAAGAGGTCAATGTGACCTTGACCTTTGACCCCTTGACCCCAAAATCAATAGGGGTCATCTACTGATCATGACCAATCACCATATCAAGTTTGAAGTCCCTAGGCCTAAGGGTTCCTGCGTTATTGATCGGAAACCGTTTTTACCCAAGAGGTCAATGTGACCTTGACCTTTGACACCTTGACCCCAAAATCAATAGGGGTTATCTACTGATCATGACCAATCACCATACCAAGTTTGAAGTTCCTAGGCCTTAAAGTTCTTTAGTTATTGATCGGAAACCGTTTTTGCTTACAAGGTCAATGTGACCTTGACCTTTGACCCCTTGACCCCAAAATCAATAGGGGTCATCTACTGATCATGACCAATCACCATACCAAGTTTGAAGTTCCTAGGCCTTAAAGTTCTTTAGTTATTGATCGGAAACCGTTTTTGCTTACAAGGTCAATGTGACCTTGACCTTTGACCCCTTGACCCCAAAATCAATAGGGTTCATCTACTGGTCATGACCAATCACCATACCAAGTTTGAAGTTCCTAGGCCTAAGGGTTCTTTAGTTATCACTCGGAAACCATTTGGTCTACGGACCGACGGACCGACAGACCGACGGACCGACAAGTGCAAAGCAATATACCCCCTTTTCTTCGAAATGGGGGCATAATAAAACACAATAAAAACACAAGATACTTACCCATCACCAGCAGCCATATTCACGTTAACTTCATCTTTTCCCATGCCCATTTCCGAGAGGATCTTTAGAGCAGTAAGAGAAGCAGCATCTCGGGCAGCATCTGGGGTGGGGCCGGACCCGTGCAGGGTGTGTGGTGGGTTGGAGGCAATGATGAGTCGACTTAAAAACTCGCTCGGATTATTCTACAACAAGATAAACATATTTCAGTACCATCCTAATCTCTGGTTATCATTATTGCTAAACTTTGTGTTCACTAGCAAATCCACCATCCATTTCTGTATAATATAATCTGTCTGATTTTTTTTATTGGTGGATACATCATATTCCTTATATGCGTAAATTGGTTATATTAATGAAATAAACTAGAGGAATATTGTTCATATGTTAACTTGAAAATTACATCTGTCTCATTCATATGCTTTGTTTTCTTGTTTTGTAAGTAAAAAAGAGAAAAGAATGTTCAAAGTTTAAGATTCAGTTTCATTATTATCAGTAAGTAATTTAGACTAAATTCACATAAAAATTGTGCAATCTTTTAAAATATAATAGCAACCTGCTGGGCAGTCATATTTTTGTTTGTAAGACTGCTTACACACAGGTCTCCTAAACTAGAACTATCAATAAATGTGATTAATACCCTTACAAGACTGCTTCGGAAATGAGGAAGTAACTTAAACTAGTAACAGAATACCTTGTAAAATAATTGAAATAGAGTTATGGCTGTGGGCAAATTAAAGATAGTTGTGATTCTTGTATGTTGCATCTCCTTTCAATGTGGTTGACCATTGATGAAGTTTTATTAAATTACTCTGTAATAAGTCCAGAAAGAGTTACGCTTCTTGAGCACCACATTTCCTCTCATTGTGCTTGGCCATAGTATGAAGTAGGATTGAATTCTAAACATTAGTTTTTAAGTTATGCACTGGACAAGGAAAAGGAACAAAGGGCAATAACTCTACAAATACTGAAGATGGAGTTTAGTTCTTGTGCACTGCACTTCCTCTCAATGTGCTTGACCATTGTATGAAGTTGTATTGAATTCCAACCATTAGTCTTCAAGTTATGCTCCGGATATGGAAAATACAACGGACCGCTGGACCGACCGACCAACCAACTGACCACCGGGTGACTCCTATACACACCCCCTAACTTCATTTTTGGGGTATAAAAATGCATTAATGTAAGATACAACAGTGTATAACAGTAAATTTGTACAACTTACAGCACCAGCAAACTCATCAAACTTGATCTCGATGTTACTTCTCCCACACACATCCCTTAGACGATGTTCTGCTCTGTTTGTAGCTTTCACCATACCTCCACCTGTGTACTGACCTTTGACACCTAAATGATAACCATACATGTATATACTGACCTTTGACACCTAAATGATAACCTTACATGTATAATATCATAAAACATCAGATTTTATATGAACTATCAAACTTTTAAATTTAAATCATCTGATGACTTTCAAGCTTTTACAGGCAGACTTAAGACTTAGGAGCATCATTTTGCATCATTTTATGCAATGGTCACCATAGGAGTGTAATAAGTAAATCCGAACAAGCTAGCCTGATAGCTTCCTCACATAGAAGACTTCAAAGTCAGAAACCTACATTCACATGGAAAATTACCACACTTAATATCATTAATGTGCTTGTCTATCCTTCATCAAATCAATTATATAACGTCCTTTGTTGGTAAAATAAAACGTTACATTAATAATTAGAACTGTCAATGATTCAGTACAAAGCATATCCATGATATATCTATATCACATGACAAATATCATTGATACACCAATATATCAATAATTACACTTGTGTATAATTCATTTTCATAACTGTTAAAATGATTTTAGTAAAAAAAAAGCAAAAAGAAACATGTTTTTTTCATAAAATCATGATGTGTCTTCTTAAATAAATGCCCATTGCATGATTTTTCTCTGACCATTTTTTTTATTGTCATCACTGCTATGAAATATATCCATAAAATAATGAGGGCATTGGTTTAGACATAGACAGTGGTTTCTCAATATGTTTATGGTGAATTTTCATGTTTGCATAATTTCTATACATTTAATTGATTAATCAAAATTATCCTTTTTCCAATTGACGTGTATTGATTATTGATTGACAGTAATATCCACCATACATGCAAAATATACGTTAGTCCAACTAGATACCAACCTTTCAGATGACTGTATGTATTACGTTTATTATCAGGAAGAACCAACAAGCCAGGCACCTTCTGTCTACTACCATTCACAACCTGCTGACCTGAAAGTTGTAATTTTTACATCAAACTAAGACAGTGTTTATCAACTCATCAAATAACTTTATTACACTAAACTGTACTGTTAAGATAGTTTACAAAGTCTTATAACATTAGTTTTATTTTACATAACTAGAAGTCCGCGAGTCGGAAGAGAAATGGACTGGACAAAAATGAAATATGAAAAATTAACAAAGGGCAATAACTCAAAAAGTAAAGAGCAGCATTTTTTGTGCACTGCACTTCTTATCAATAACATCTATCGTCCTATGAAGTTTCAAGTCCATAGCTTTTATAATTTATGAGAAATGGCCTGGACAAAAATAAAGTATGAAAATTAACAAAGGGCAATAACTTAAAAAATAAGAAATGCATAGAGTAATAGTTCTTGTGCACTGCACTTCTTCTTGATGAGATCTATCATCCTATGAAGTTTCAAGTCCATAGCTTTTATACTTTAGGAGGAATGCCCTGGACAAAAATAAAGTATGAAAATTAACAAAGGGCAATAACTCAAAAATTAAGGAGTGCAGAGTACCGGTTCTTGTGCACTGCACTTCCTGTCATTATAAAAAAGCAATCCGACTTATAATGACTGACTTATGCTCCGGACAAGCTTAAGGGGACGCGGGTGCCGCCGACACAGACGCCGACAACAACGCTGCTGACAAAAGTAACCCCTATATGTCGCCTTTTTCAAGGCGGCACAAAAATCAAGACATTAATGGTGGCCAATTGTTATAATTGTCATCATCTGCAGACATTAATGACCTGTCCATTATGTACATCCATCATATTCCTGCAGTCTGACCAAAGTATGTTATAAATGATAAGGTTAAGTATCTGCATTTCAACCGAAGATCATGAGTTCAGGACCTTCTCAGGTCAGGAACGAATTATTTTTATACAGTACTGGTTATTCAATGATATAGACTTGAGTGCAATACAAATATGCTGTATCCAAAGATCGCTGACTGTGTGAGTTCAAATCCTGTCAGGGGCAAGCTATTGTTTTCGTTAGCAAAAAAACTTTACACTCATTGCTTAGTATTGATTGGTCCGAGGAACGGATTCAAGAGTGTTTCAATAAGCTCATAACTTCCAATACAAATGAACAAAAAAAAATAGTATAAACTATAAATAAGCTGCATGATATTTTTTTAAATCAATTCAGAACAAAACATGTTTCAACTAAACTCTAAGGTTTTCTCCATTTTAAAAACTGCTTTAAAATTGAAACTCTTTAGTTCTAAATATCAAGCAGGATAAGACCAGTATAAAAATTTAGCATGATAAAAATACAAACACATACCTTGTTCATCATTAATATCAGAAAATGTTACTTTCTTTTCACCCATACTGGTCTGAAAAATAAACAATCTTTAGTATGTATTCAACCAGTCAAGATAATAATCTAAGTAACTGTGTATAAATTATACTATGAAAGTGGTCAGGCAGTACAAACTATGATATATGAATATATAATACCTTCAGAAATTTTAAATTGGATTACATTTAACCCTTGTAGTTATAGTAGCTGTTTTGGTTGGGCTTTAACAGTACAGATAATATGGCAACTTTCCAGCTTTACTGGTAGAGGAAGACCATAGGTACCCTTCTGTGCATTTTTTTCAGGCACCTGAGTAGAACCACTGACATTCCATATGCTAGCTGGATAGCTTTCTCGCATGAAATAATCAATAGTGCCTGTAAGAATTTGAACCCACAGTAGTAACAGACAAATGGTTTGAAGTAAACAACCATAACCAGTTGGCCACAGACACCCCTCATAGTAGCTGAAATGATTTATACAACACTTAAATATAACAATCCTTTTGTGTTTCCCATATAAACACTACTACTGCTTTTAAAATAGTGTTGAACACTTACATCTCCTTGCATTTTAATAGCTGGTTTGGCAGGTTGTGGTGAGGGTTTATTGTAACCTAGCAACTGTAACATGGCCTCGGCAGCATGCCTCTTCGCAAGTTTTTTATTGGGTCCTACACCGGTACAAGTCTGCTCATCAACCTGAACCTGCATGAGTACAGAGTCATGTTATGATTAGTATTGTTAAAATAGAAATATCCACACAAGAAATGTCTTGACAACAATACCATCATAAATTTACCTTAACTATATGTATTGACAGCAATTTTCAAAAGAAAAATTAAAAAAATAAAACACAAAAAAACACCACATTATTTTAGCAATTTATCACCATTTCCCCCCCCCCCCATCAAAACATCTAGATTTTAAACATATTCCTTGTAATAAGCCTTTATCAATATATACAAGCAACACCCTTTCCGAACTAAACACTGATAATTCACATGCTTCAAAAAACTACTTTATACCTGCATGACAAATTCACGACGCCTAGGAAGACCTCTCTCAGCCAGTAATGTGTAGACAGGCTCCTTCTTTTTCTGGGCTTGTTGTATCTGTATAAGGCGGGATATAGGGTTGATGCCCACTCCATACGTAGGATCTGCTTTCTGCATCTGCTTAGAACAACCATATCGAGTAAACAACACAGTACATGTACACAGACAACTCGTAATCATAAAAAATACTCTTGTACAATCTAAAATCAATGAAATCTCCCCATTACTGAGTATTTTAAACTGGGCAGAAATTATAGTTTTTTATTAATGACTATAATCAATGTATGGGGAAAAAAATCTAGGAAATCTGTCAATATAAATAAACGTGTCACTAGAAGTTTTGTTTGATTTATGGCACATCAACACAATTTAGATCATATGGTGCCGAAACAGGAAAGATAATTTTGGCTCTCAGATGTTACAAACTTAAATCAACTCTAGGCACTAGGGGTCAAAACGACTTAAAGTACTTGAGCTTAGAGATGCATAGACTCCTGTTATTCGAACCTTTATAGTGGCCTCTTAAGATCATGCCGTGATAAACGGTGGCTGCAATTCTGATGCCTAAACCCTTAAAGGCAACCCCTCAGCCACAAAGGGTAAAAAAATGGGACAGGAAGATAATCAGACAAAAATATGCTCCACTGAAAATGTATAATCTTTAATGGGGATAAAAACTAACAATAATCCAATCACTACTAACCTTGATTAGATTTCTATTCTTTTTCTTTGTAGGTGGAGGTTTTGTCTTCGGTCTCGGTATATTTGGAGGCAGAGATGGGAGATTTCGTAATTCTTTCAGCATTAAATCTGCAGCTCGTTTTTTTGACAACTTTTTACTATTACCCTCGGCTTCTGTTTTAAAACTTCCTACAAGGCACTGTGTTACAAAGTTCTTCATGTGAGGTGGACCGGATTCTCGTATCACCTACAAGCAATTTAAATTATGACATATTAGATAGCCTAGATTTTCTAGTGTAGGCATCAATACTTGAAAATGGCATTTTGGCCCCTAAGGTGTTAAATGAGTTGTGTTTTACTTGATGTGAAAATACTGGCTGCCTGGGTAGACTGAAATTCCTGGCCATCAGTCGAGCTTAATTGCATTTCAGCCAAGCATTCTAGTCCGTACCATTAACTTACAACTGTCTATTTTCATGTAAATGTGTGTTTTTTGTTGTTGTTTTCTTTTTAATTAGGTTTTTATCCCACCAACACAGTATCGGTCATTCAGCAACTTTCCAGCTTAACTGGTAGAGGAAGACCTCGGATACTGTTCGAATCCAAACAGGCACCTTTAAGAATCCAAAGTCCCTGTCAAGATTCGAACCCACACTGAATGTGGCATTGAATAAATACTTATATTAAGTAATTTGATCAAGTCTTTTCAATACTAGGTGTCTGTTTCTCACCTAGAAATCATATGTCCCAGCCTTACTGGGGTTACAAAACATTTCTCAAAAGCATCAGAATTGAGAAGTTCCAGGCAGCAAATTCAATACTGGTTAATTTTTTTTAGCTTTCATCAAATGTTAAAATAAATATGTAACTTATCAACATCTAAAAATTTCAAGAAATATAAATGACAAAATATGATGTGCACTTCCAAAGTATTTAAAATGTGTATAATAATATACTTACATCAAACGACACAGGTAGATTGTGTCGGAGGGCTATCTCATGGACTAAACTAATTTCTGACTTGGTATCATCTGTAAAAAAGAAAAGATTAACAATCAAAGACTCATGCCACTAGGTGAAATGGTCGTTTGTATCTCAATATTGATTCAGATTCATGTAGGATTAGTACTCAGTCACTTGCTGAGAAATTGTTAATTACCGAGTTAAGTTATCCAGGAAAGGTGGACCAAAAATATGTTAAAATCAGCATAAAAAGAAGAAATCAAACTAACAGAATGCCTCTAGGTGAGTAAACTAATTTTCTAGGGTGTATTTAGTCAAGTGCTTAATGTGACATACTTCAACCCCTTACGGTACCCTTTATCACTTTGGATCAGAACACTTTTCAATTAAAGGAAGCTATCAAACTAGTTAACAGAAGATTATTAGTTCTTCTCGCAAATACTCAAATCAATTTCAATATTACCTCTCAAACCATGAATTCTGCATATGCAGCACTAATTAATCCCATTCATCAATGTTATATGCATTTATATTAACAACAATTTAGCAATAACAACTTTTGTTTCATTAAATGCAAAAAACATAATTACATTGTATATATTTAGTTTCAGGAGTTCTTTTTTTTAAATTCTTTTGTCTCTTTAAAGATCCTGTATGTTGTAATTGAGGTTGTAAACCACACATACATAAAATTTTATATATGTATATAATTATGCTTATAAAACAATTCTCAAACATTGAAGCAAATATTTGTACATATTATATGTAATCATTTGAATATATGCATTCATTTCTTATTGAAAAATTTGACTTAGACTTTATAGAAAATATCTTTTTTATTACCTCCCTTTATTTACATGAAATGTTAAATTTGGTAGTATCTTCATAAATAATGCTTTTTGGTACTCGCAAAATTGATAAATCTTAATTTGAGCATCATATTTATGATATAAAACCATAAAAAGTTTGTGTTAAGGGTAAAGAAGTTAAGTGGCCCTTATATTTTCAGAATTGCTATCTATTAGATTAAAAAAAGTTTATTTCCGAGATAATTCTACAAAAACTATTCTCATACCATCGTCATCAGGAACGTCTTTTGTAGGTTCAACACTAAAATTGGTTTCTTGCGTAATTTGTTCCGTATTTTCTGGTATTTTCAAACTGCGTAGTATTTCTAGAGCTTTTTTCGCAGCGTTGTGTCTAGCCGTCTGTCTTGATATACCCTCACCGATGAATTCACGAGTCCCAACCTTCAGGGAAACATAGAACGATCTAGGAGGGCGCATGTAATGATACCTGAAATAACGACAATTATGCAGTATTTTTTAAAAAATTGAGAATAATAATAAAACATTTAAGCTAACTACATGGTCACAGGACTTTTTTTCCTTCTATAGCAGGGGCCGTTATATGGCTGCTTCCCCAAAGAAAAATTCTTTAAAATCATGCAGTTTTCCACAAAAACTGAATTTACACAAACTTTTTTCTTCCCCTTCTGCAAATATACAGTAAAAATTAAGGGCAGGGCTGCTTCCCCAACATGTGAAAAAAAGCCCTGATAAATGAAAAATGAAAGTTTTTAAAATCCCCCAAAAAGCACATTTCAAAATCTGAAAATCCTGAATTCAGGAATGATCTTGAAAATTTTCACCCATATACACCTTTTTAACTTTACAATACTTTCTTTTTTTAAAGCCATAAAATCTAACTATCAGAAAGAGTGTAGTTCCTGATTTCTGAAGTAATGGGAAATCAAGTGAAACAACCATATATAAAAATCAGGGATTTTTTTGGCTTATTTTAAAGCGGATTTTCGGTCATATTCCCAATTGAAAACAGACTCATTATATTATTTTCCCAATCCACAGGAAAAAATTCCCAAACGAAAATAAAAATATTGAATAAAAAAATTCTTAAGTCTTCGAAAATAAGAGCTACTTCACTGTTATAGTGCTTACATCTTTAAAGATGCCATCCTAGACAGTGATTGTTTGAATTCATTTAATCACTGCAAAATTTCAATCATGCATTTTTCCCCCAATTGTTTTTACAAAACATTGCTGAAATTCCCAATTCCATGGGTATGGGTTATGTTCCCAAAATCCTGGAAAAAAAATCCTGAAAATGTCACTCAAATACAAGATACCTCTGATTGTACATGCCCCGGAAGTCATAGTTATGTTGGTAGTACATTGGCTGTGGATTTCTGTTTTCAATGTTTCTATAAATAGCCGGTTCTCCTCTTTTCATCGCCAGAGAATTGAGTTCAACTGTTGGTGTAATAGACATCATATCATCAACTGAAAATCAAAAGCACATTCTGATTTTGTGTCTCAGTTCAAGCACATTATGTAAACAAATCTCAAACTGTACAATCACATTAATGGCTATTCTTAATACCAAACAGCAGTTTTTTTTTCACTTTTGGGGGAAGGGGGTTGGTGCCGTTTGGAGGGGGAAAAATGTAATAGGAGGGGCAATTTTATTTGATTACTTATTTTATATTGTTTTCTTTGCGGTGAAAAAGGGAAGCTTAGAAGTTTAAAAAGTTTAAAATACGTCTCTTTTTCTTAATATACGGATCTAAAATATCGATGAATCGCATGTTAAACTTGTTGGGACGCCGGGAGTAGCTCCCCTTACATACCAGAGAACGATTTGTAAACAACCTTGCTTAACAGTAACTCATACAGGCATTAAATAAAACATTATTCGGCAGTTAGTTGCAAAAAAAAAAAAGAAAGATATTTATTGCAGGCAAATTCGGGCTGCCCTATAGGCTTTGAGGGGGGGGTGGGGGACATACTATTTTGAGGGGGAAATGCGGCCGAATTTCGCCGAATATTTTGGTGAAAAAAACCACTGAACAGTCTTTTTCATACCAGAACATCCTCTATCATCATGACTTCTAAATACCAAGCAGTCTGTCTTAATGGATTTTCTAAATACCAAGCAGTCTGTCTTAATGGATTTTCTAAATACCAAGCAGTCTGTCTTGATGGATTTTCTTAATACCAAGCAGTCTGTCTTAATGGCTTTTCTTAATTTTTACAAACAAGTATTCTAAGATTCATGTTGATATCTTTTATACTTTAAAAAAAAAAAAATTCTATTTCATAGGCAATTTTACAAAATTCTAAGTTAAAAAAGGGCAAAACTCAAAAAATTCAGCTTTCAGAATAATGCCCATTGTCTTAAAATTGCCTCTTGTTATGATAAGCAAGCGTTTCAAGTTTCATACTGATAACTTTAAAACTAAAAAACAAAATTAAGTTTTTGTGAAAAGACAATGCCGATAATGATGTGGCAGCAATCGTAATAGCCAGACTTTTTCTTTGAAACCTACAAGCTATACATATATTTTTTTTCTATCAGTTCTTGAGTGATTAAGAGCAAAACTGGTATCATGTAATTTCTTACCCTCAGTTATGATTTCACCTCTCCTTGATTTAGGAGGTGGGTGCTTGAACTCAGTTTTCTCTAGAGCTATCCCCGCAGCTGCATGTTGGGCCTTCTTTATACTGGGACCCGAGGCAGAATACTCCTCCTTATCACCAATCTGTAGCTTGACGAAAAAGGTCTTCTTGTGAGCTGGACCTTGTTCGTCAACTAACGTATACTGATGGGTCACCTACAATGATTATTCACACAATGTTTACATTAATCCTATAATGAAAGTGACTTTGCATATTTGCTTTAGAGTCATCCATGATCTCTAATGCAGGGTTGGCAAACGATTGACCGCCAAGGAAAACCCAGGTGGGAAAACCCGGGTTTTCCCGGGCTGGGCAGTACTCCCTAAACTAGGTAATACTGGGCAATACTAGGTTATGTGTTTTTTTTTCAATGAATACTAAAAATATGATTTACATTTATTAACAGATAAAGTAAACATAAGGATAGCACAAGTGCATTTCATACAAATTGAGTTCTGAACATCAACAACTATGTTGTGTATGTTTAATACATAAATCATATAATAAAAGTGACTTTGTAAATTTTCTTTGAAGTCATGATCTCCATTCAGTCTAATGTTTTAAATCCAAAATTTTCATTCACTTATCACTCATAAGGTATAACACCTACAGTAACACTTAATGAATCAAAGTAAAATGTTAGCTCTACATACTTACCCTGTTGAAACGGGCTAACTCATTGATTAGACACATTGGGGTTTTCTCTTTAGTGTTTGCCAAACTAGACGATCCTTGCAGTTGCTGATTTGTTTCTTGGCCTTGCTCATTGGTCAATACTGAAGTTGTAGGTGGGTCTTGTGGCGGACTGCTGGTCACATGACTAGAAACTCCATTTTGATTGGACAATGAAGAAGGGAAGTGATGAGGATTGGCTGAAACTGCGGCTGTTGCTACAGTTTTTGCTGGCATTGCAATAGTAACAGGACCTACAGAAGGCATTTTGTGATTACAGTTTATTATAGTAATACAAATGAAGATAATTCATTTCATAATTGGTCAATAATTAATCTTTTCAACCCCAAATGGTAATTCTGTGAGACAGAGAGCATTAACTTTTTAAGTTTATAGTATGAATCCATTGAAATATTTTCTTAAATATCTGTATAATAAATTTACAAAACGAACTTTTTCAAAAACAAAATGACACAATTCTAATATCTTATTCTAAGCCTTTTCTAAGGCCTTAAAGCTGCATGCCTCCAGATGAGCGGAAATATTTTTATAAAATCAAACTTGAGAAAAATGTACTTAGAATTTAGGAAAAGTAAAAATATTCAAGATTCAAGAGTAAAAATATTCAACATTCAAGTATTAATTTACATGTTATGTATGATTAATGACTGATCTTTCAGTATTTTTATAACTATATTTCTACTGCATCACTAATACAGTTAGGGCTTTTTTTTGCACATTTTGTCCTCTTTTCAGTAATTTACATGGGTTTTTAAAATGCCACTGATAATGTGTAAATTGCTTTCTTTGGTTATTTAACATACTGGTTTCCTAGCAGTTTCCGTCCACAAATCGCACTTTTTAACAAATAAAATAAAAATCAGTATACGGAGGGATACAAAACTTTTTCAGGTACAGTGTAACTTCTGAAAACCGAACACCTGTGGGACTAGCCAAAAAGTTCGGAATTTGGAAATTTCTGGAATTCAGAAACAAAGTACAATTATTAAACTGTTTTATAGTAAGACATAATGAAAAATATACGAAGCTGATTAAATCTAAAAAAAAAAATAGCAAAATTATAGGACTTTTACTTTTTTAAATTTCATTATCACCTCTAATTGAATTTGCTAATACAATAACATAATGTTAATAATCACAATCTATCCTTTAGTATATTTCATATACATGTAGTACCTGTTATTTACCTGTATTTTTACATTTCATCACATTATTTTTCTCAATTTCTTAATTTTCACACTTTAAACTAGTGTTTGATATGCTTGACATGTTGTAATTCTAATAGGTGTCAAGATAGATGGGTACTGCTAATTGGATGATACAGACATTTTGAAGGTTTTTCAATTACAAGTATAATATTCCTTCACACCTTTTTTAATTTCCGGATTGTGGAAGTAAATTTTAATTGATATAACCCAAATTTTAACAAATAATCGTTCGGAATTCAGAATTTAGAAGTTCCGTTATTCAGAGGTTTTGATTACAAAGCAATATTAAGATGATTTTATCAGACAAACAGAACTTCCCAACCTTTTCCGTGTCGTCTGCAAAAATATTTTCTGAAGTATTGATTTACCTAAAATGGGGTCTTAGTTATTGCGCATGGATATTCACACTAGAATTCCCCAGGTGTTGCTTATTTTTGAATGTCGCAAGTTCTCTTATGTAATTTTTAATAACAGGCAAAACTTCAAAACATATAAATCATTGTACTATTTTAAATGCTGTTTAGCATAGAAAACAAATGTTTCTCCGATTGATGAAGTAACGTGGATGCCTTACTGGTAAAAATAGACTGTACTGGACGAAAATGATAAACGGCCGGAAAACTGCTAGGGGACAGAAACTGCTAGGAAACCAGTAAATAATACTTTTACAGTGTTCAATTTAGAACAAAGTCCCAGGGGGCCCATCGGGCCCATAAACTTTTCAAAAGGGGGTCATTTGAGAAAAAAGGGGGCCCACTCTGAAAAGAACATCAAATTCAAATAACGTATTTATCTTTTAAGTTACTTGTTCACGTACCATATATAGACCAAAAAACGGTTGCAAAATTCCAAAACAATCAACTCACTAAAATAATGACAATATTTTGACCCTTTTGAGAGTTACAAGTGTTAGCGTTGATACAGGCTCAATTTAAAGAACTGATTGGTAAAAAAAAAACGATGACATAATGTTCAAAGAAACATATGAATCTTATTCTAATGTTACTGCAGGGATATTTGATAATAATGTTCAGTTTTTTAATCAGCGCCCGGTATATAAAAGAAAATCATATTTTGCAATTAGCTTTGTTGATGAAGAATATAAACTTACAATAGTCGCTAAAAACATTTACCCTTCTCAATATATCCAAGCGAAAAACAAAGTGTCAACAGGTGCTAAGACAATGTATATTGGGAAGACAGACAAAACCCCACCAGTTAAAACCCCACACTGTATATTGACATAAATGGTACCTTTGATCTTTTGTCAGGGCAGCAGTTCTTACGTCACGCTTAAGATGTCTGTATTGATTTAATGATATGCACAATGTTTTAGCGCCGACCAGCCAAAGACCAATCAAAGTTTATTTAATCAATTGTCAGACACTCCCTAGCCAATCGTGTTTGATTAGCTCCATCTTTAAGACTTTTTCAATTGGATGAAGGCGCGTTCGTAATAATTTATGCACACTTCTCTATAATTAACTCGCACTTTTCACAAATATATATTATTAAGTAATAGTTACGGTACGAAGAACAAGTCTACATAGTATTTACAGACCCCGGCCGAGAGAGCGTAGCGATCAAGATTTTAAAAGGGTTACCAAGTACGGTAACTATGTTACCAACATGCTCTTGTTTTTCTATAAAAACTTCAGTTTTGAATTCAGTATTTATTAATATTATTCACAAGAAACTTTTTTTATGTACTTAATCAGGTTTAGGAAAGCATTCTAATGTCATTTAGGGCATTTTCTATGAGTGCGCCCATCGGGCGCACAGTTGAATTTGTTTTGCGCTGGGCGGTCTTTTTCAGGGGGTCAATGGCGCAACGGCGCGCTCTAGATTGAACACTGCTTTAAACACATTATCAAAATTTTCATGAAAATTAGCATGAATCTGGAGGCATGCTGCTTTAAATTAATAAAATATAATGAAAACTCCATATCAACAAAATTCTTTTTCTTTTGAGAAATTGTTTTTTTTTACCTGTAGGAATGAAATGTTCCAATGACAGGAGCTTGTCCTTGTACATTTGTCCTGAAAAAACTATTTTTTTGATCTGCTGTTTTGTTTACTTGCTGAGGTTGTTGTATTTACAATAGGTTTCATTTTGATTGTCCTGAAAATAACGTAAGTGTAAAGAAAAGAAAAGAGTATAGCTATTACACTCAGATACATAGATTATCTTTAAAATTTAAGTATGTGCCCAACCTCAAAAAGCAGTAACATTCGGAAAAGAATTCTTTTAGATTTGAAGGCGCCGAGATATGGAACAGTCTCCCTAATAACATCCACAAGCTTGAAAACTACAAAGAGTTTGGGAGACTGATCCAGGTTTGGAGTGACCAAAGTTGTAAATGTGCTATGTCTCTGTAAATTTGCTATGTGTTTGTTTTTTTGCTTAATTTTAATTTATGTAAAAATGCTTAGACTACATGTTTTGTTTGTTTGCTTTGCTTTTGTGCATCCCTTTTACTTAGTTTGCTATGATGCTTTGATTATAATGCTGTGTGTTAATTTTCCTTAAACCCTGTATTTTTATGCTAGTTGAATCTTTGCTGTCTGATTTGTATGTTTTGTTCATTATTAAAACTCCTTATTCTAACCTTCCATTAGGCTGTGCATGCAACTTAATTTTAGTTAACCTTTTGTTTTGTTACCTCCTGCATGACTTGTGCTTTTATCTTGGGTTTCTTTTTTATGTTGTTTTAGTTCTATCATAAATTCTTATGTACCTTTTCTTATAAGTAAGTCAATTTATTTATCTATTTTTTTTTAGGAAACCTTCAATTACGTATAAATTTCTTGATGTTAACTAATAACTTATTACTATTTTTATTAATTCTATATTTTTATTATAATTATTTTTATTTATTTCACATTGTTTACATGTATTCATACTTAAATTTCTATACTACAGTCCAATTTATTACTTTTATAAACTGTTACTACCTTGAATACAATATGTACTGTGAAATGTCATCAAACTTTGCTTTAATTTATCATCTTATTGATACTTTTATTTCTATTAGTTTTTTATGTTTTTACTTTCAGATCTGTTATATGTTTAGTAAGTATGCTTTAAGTCTTTGTTATTGTCGGTAAATAGCTTATTAGCTAATGTTTCTTGTAATATGTAAACCAACTTAAAATAAAGTTTCTTGTATCTTGTAACCTGATTAGAATCTTCACATTTTCACTCGGACACAAAAAACCATTTACATGATTTAGCTTTGGACATTCCAGCTGTCTGACTTGATTTGTCAAATTTCATACATCGTATCAATACAATACAATACAATACAATATCTTTATTGCTTCATAGGCCACCAGCCCAAAACAAAACATAGTTTACAAGTTTTTGTTTACATATGTACAAAACAGTGTTAAAGTATTATGGTAATAGTCAAATACAGTAATACATGTATAATCATCAAAATTCACTGCTATTTTAATAGAAAAAAAAATCTTTCTATAAAAGTTTGTCTGAAATAGAAATTGTAATTGGAGAATTAATTTTACTACATTTTTCAACAGTTTAACCTTATCCGAAAAAAATGTAAGGCAAAACATGCTAAAACGTAGTTTATCGCAAACTCAAATGTATACATTGAAAAATTTTGAATCAACAATAATAGACTTAATGTAGAATTTAATCATATTGGCATTAATGATTTGCACACGTTTGCTAACAATGTATAAATAAACAGGCTGGTGAAATTGCCAGATCGGGCTTAAAATGAAAAAATGTAATTTCTCAAAAACAGTCAAAGATATTGCTTTTAAACTTGTGATATATCTTAGGCATTATAATTAGATAGACTTAAACAAATGTTACATTTTTTATTATATGAGTAATACGGATTTCACATCACTTTTTTTTTTTTTTATATGGTCCAATTTTTTTAAGTCATAAACACATCTTTTGCATTTGCCTTTTTCCTCAAATCTGGATTATTTTTTGCATCCTGGGTATCTCTTCTAATGCGCCAGCACCTTAAATTTCTGTATTGTATGCTGTATTTTTAATTGCATTACAATTGTTGACCACACATCACCCACAGGGGTTAAATGTTTTTGCTAAAAAAAATTTACACAGATTAGAACTGCATAATTTACATGGTGGCGCATTCAAAATGAATATATCTGATCATATAAAACTCAAAATTCAATTGGAACTTCATTTTAAAAAGTCATGTTTCTTGGACTTTTGAAAATTTTAGCTGCTTAAAATCCAGCAAAGGCAAAATATTCTTGTGTAATAACTGAAATTCATTTAATTTCAGTTCTTATACATCACAAATTAGGTAGGAAATAATATGCTTTAAAAAGGTAAAAATAACTTTGATACTTTCCAAGAAATGTGCAATTTTCATTTTAAGCCCGATCTGGTAATTTCACCAGCCTGATAAAGCATAAACAGGTCTAGGATTTCATGATATTTATGGACTGTCTGTAAATTTATAGATAGTCTAAAATTTTAAAGATTTTTCAATCCATAAATTTACAGATATTCAATGAGAAATTTGCTGTTTTTAGTTTTACACTAAAATCCGCAGCTTAAGACAAGTTGTTTTATTGATTGTTTATATTTACAAAGGTAATGGGGTGAGTTTCATCTTTGTATGATGATTTTGAAATTTTTGCTAAAAGTGAAAATTGAAAGTCATCAAATTGTTCTGAATCTTACCATACTGTTACATTTAATCATATAATACGTAACCTTATTCATTTTAACCTGCGGTTTTGAGTTTTTATGCAACTTCTGCTATTTTCTTACTTCATGTCTGTAAATTTACAGATAAAAAAATCTGTAAAATTATGGATCGTCCAAAAATTTACAGACTGTCCATAAATATCATGAAATCCTAGACCTGATAGCGTGGACAAACCAGTTCTCGAACCTCTAAGGATTCGATGAGCCATTTTTAATCAATAAAACAATAATTTAGGAAAAACACATTAAAAACACACCTTTTAACCTTTATTCCACTTTTCTATCATGTATTTGTTGATATTTTATTTTTAAAACTAATCCAAATCCTTCCAGAAAAAACACTACCATTCTCTGTAAAACTGTCATGGCCGCTAAATATAGATGACCTAATTTCGAACCTCTACCATACAGTCCCAAAAACTACAGTTCAGTTCAGTTAATCTGGTCCAAAAATAACAAAATATAAACTTTAACTTTAATACATAACAGTAAACAGTTTTTTCCTTATTTTATGATTATTCTTCAGTGTTTTGTTCATGACATGGGCAAATAAAGGTATCATTTCGTCTAACAACAGTGGTATTGCAACAGTATTTCAAATGAACCCAATGACAACATCCTTCAAAATCACACTGAGCCCATTTTGTGAATACTAAAGACACACAGTTATGGAGTTCTTTGGGCTGAAACAGGTGGCAAACACAGCATTTTTCATCATCCTCCATTTCATCATCTGATGTAGAATCAGTGTCATAAACAAGGTTAATGTGTGATGGTCCAGGGACTGGTTCATGATGGATACTCAATCGTTTTGATTTTGATTTTACATTATTCATAAGAAATGTTTTACTTGAAATATGTTGGTTCTCTTTTGATTTCCTTTTTTTAGAAGATTTCGGGACTTCACTGATAGCTTTGGCTTTTCCATTCTCTTCAGTATTTTTTGCTTTCTCTCTTATTTCTTTCTCTATATCTGGGTTTGTGATTTCTTTACCAGCTACAATGCTACTTATTGTGTTATTTTTTTTCTTATTTTGGTTGAACTCTTTTTTCTTTTCTATAACTTCCTCTGCCAACTGAAAAAATCCTTGTGCATTTGATTTATTTTCATCATTTATTTTTTTTTCTTTTACAGGAGTAGTGTATGGCTCTGATGGCGTAAAATGATCTTTACTAATGGCATTACTATCCAATGGAAATATTCCGGGTTTTTTAGAATGACCTCAAATTGTCACTTGATAATGCACTATGGTATGATTCTGATGCAATGGTAGCAACATTAAACATAGTAAAGTAGTTACTTTAGTAGAGGGATTTTCTCTAAGATACCTGTGACATTTGCCTGTAAGGGCCCAAAAACAGCCAAAATCTAGTGGCTGTAGAACATGGCTTGTATGTATGAACATAATTACATTATTTTTCTTAGCCCAATCCAGTACAGGAACATTTATATGCGTTTTATGTCCATCCAGAATTACTAATATTGGCTGCTGTTTGTCACCTCTCTGTACGTACTTAATAAAGTGTTTTTCCATATAGTGTAGAAAAACACTTGAATTGGACCAACCACTGTCAGACATACTAGCAGCAGAACCAGGTGTTGAGCCATTCAAAAGGTCTTCATTGAAACGTTTACCTTTAAAGACAAAAAAAGGTGGAACTTGTGTGCCCAAAGCATTTCCACATCCAATAATAGTGGTGACATTAGAACGAGAAGAGGTTATTGCAGGTGTTCTTGAGTTTCCAGATACAATGTAGGGAGGAGTGTGTTCGGTTTGAATACCCTTTTCATCTATATTGTAAATGCACTCGGGCTTGTCAATAAGATCATTATCTTCAATAACAGCCTTCAAATTCATGAAGTATTCATCAACAACAGCCTGTGAGGTAGATTCAGCCCTGTAATTTGAAAGTGCTCTAGGCCTTACAACACGTAAATCAGGCCATCTATCCTTGAAACCATTAAACCATTTTGTACTAAGTGGCTTGTCTGGTGTCCTTTTGCCTAAACAAACGGCATAATTACTAGCCATTGCTATCACCTCAGTTATAGTGTAACCATACCCTAGGGATGCCATGGCTTTAATGTGATCAACAAAGTTCAGTTCTTCTTCTTGACTTAACAATGGGGCAGGACCTGGCTTCAATGTCTCTGGGTCAATTCTACCTTTCACACGATCTCTGAGGGTTGAATGTGGCACCCCATACTGCCTTGCTGCAGATTTTATAGGCATCCCAGTCTCTTTGACTAATTTGTAAGCATTCTGGAGAGCAGTTGGTGAGTAGTGACCATTTCTAAGACACCTTTTTGCTGGATGAAGCTGAAAAATAAAAGGAAAAATAAAAACTTACCATGAAGCAAAAAATTTTTTTAGTCTGTGAAATGGGCAAACTACGAAATGTGAACTGGACTGTATCATAGCTATTGTGAGGTTATAATTAGCTGTCACATGATTGTCACGTGACTTTATGTGCAGCCGAAAGGAAGGGGTACCTGCTATGTGCTTTTGTTTTGTTAAAACATACTTTTAAACAATATTTAATGGATTGTACTGACAGGGCTGAAAAAGGTAATAGGGATTTACTTAAAAATATTCACAATAACAAAATATTCATTCTAAATACCTGTTTCTTGCGCATTGTTTTCGTTTGACAGCTGCAGTTGCGTCCGTTGTTTACAAAACATTTGTGCACACGAGTTGATGACGTCATACGCAATTACGTAGCAAAGTAAACAACTTTTTTATGAAAGGTTCGAGATCAGGTGAGGTTCGAGAACAGGTGTTAATACGATAAATGTTCCTTCAAATGAAGAAACCGACACTTTAATTTGTATCTATTTTAGTATGTGTTATGTGAGTTATTGCTGTATCAATATATTATTATATATTAGTGATATACAGTAGTTACTCTAGATGTGCGTCCCAAGTCGGAGGCGCATAAAAAATGACAGAAGCCCCAGTGGTTAACACTCCCCACCCACTTCATTTTTTCATATGGTATCAAATAACTATATTTTTTAACAAACCTTAGAAATATTTAGTTGTGTATATTGAACTTAGTTACACGGAGTGATATCAAGGCAACAGATTTTATAAATCACGTCTGTATAAGAAATGAATTATTGGCAAACATGAAAGAAAAGTGCAGTCGAACACGCGAAATGTTGTTCTGCTCCCGAATAATATGACTGTGCTCCACCAATTTATATTTCTGAGTTTATAAAACGCTCATTTACCTGTGAGCACATTCCAAGCGTTTGTCAGGAAGGGAGTACGAAAATAAACCAGTCACTTTTCATGGTTGAAAGATACTAAATATAGCTGAAGGTAATAAAGTACTAAAAACGGATTGGTGTACTCATTCAGAGCGAAATTCGTTCTCTAATTCTGTTTAACAATTTGTTATTCTTTATGTCTACCCATTTTGAAGCGGTATAGATGGATACCGAAAATAAGCTATTTTCGCGAAAATAAGATCGCGGCTACGAAAATAAGATTTATTTTTTAAATAGTGCATTTATCTGTTGAAATAATTATGTAAAATATATATTTATGCATTCATTGAATGATTTTACAGCAAATTAAAATTTCAGAACCAAAAAAATATTTAAAAAAGTGAAGTTTGAGCCGAAAATACTATCGTACGAAAATAGCTCAAAATTGCTGTTAAAGCGAAAATAAGATCGGGTCTACGAAAATAAGATTTATTTTTTGATATAATGTATTAAAAAACGTATTTTTGTTTCTTAACAATTGATTTGTATGAATGAAATAATAAATTTCAGAACTAAAAGTATATTTTAAAAAAAGTGAAAGTTTCAGCCGAAAATACTATCGTATGAAAATAGCTTAAATTGCCGTGTAAATCGAAAATACGATCGGGTCTGCGAAAATAATATTTATTTTTGATATAATGAATCAAAAACTATTTTGCTGTTATTAAATGATTTGTTTGAATGAAATAATAAAGAATAAAAAATCTTGTAATGAAATATTAGATGTTTGTGCGGCAAATATGGTAAATATTCCAAATTTACTATAGTAAGAACGCATGAACATATTTAACCAAGATGGCATCTACGAAAATATATATAAGATTTACATGGTTCATAACTTATATTAAAATAGTGTTAACTTTACTTTTAATGATTTTGCAAATAAGTTTTAAGAATGAAATGTTCTCTTATAAGACAAAAAATGTTTGTGGTGAAAAAGTATCAAAATAAAAAAAAAGAACTATTGCAAAAACAACCTGAAACAACGACTACGAAAATAAGATCTAGATCTATATAAGAATATGTACCGTACGAAAATAAAATCATAACAGTACTCTACGAAAATAAAATCTGTAAGGAAATAAAAGCTGTATGAAAGTAATGTTCATACGAAAAAGGTATATTACCAAAATAAGATTTTGCTGTAAATAGTTAATACCTGTATGAAATTATTTATTATTTATGAAAGAACTACATGTACGAAAATAAGATCTGTAAACAATTCAAAGTCAAAACCTGTATGCATTGATATTCGTACAAAAATAATTGAGAATATGATCTGTATGGAAATAATATATGTACGAAAATAAGATCCTATTGAAAATAAAACTATACGAAAATAAGATCTGTCTGTATTCGACTAAGATTTTTTACAAATGAAAGATCTGTGAAAATGAAAGTTGCATGAAAAATAATATCCTTACGAGAAATAAGATACATATGAAAATAATATATGTAAAAAAATTCCTGTATGAAATTACTATATATACGAAAATAAGATCCTATAGAAAATGTGATCTATACGAAAAAAAAAAAAAGATCTGTAAGAAAATAATACGCACGAATATAAGATCTATATGAAAATAAGATCTGTATGAAATAATGTCTGTTTTTACTAAGATTTTTACGAAAGTAAATTCTGTGAAAATAAAATCCTTGTGAAAATAAGATTTATACAAAAATAATTAAGATCTGTACGAAAATAATGTCTGTATATGAATAAGACTCATACGAAAATAATATTTGTATGATAATAATATCTTTATCAGAATGATATGAAAAACGACTCTATATGAAAATAATGTCTTTACAAAATAAGATCTTTAACGAAAATAAGATCTGTGTAAAAATATGTCTTAATTTTTGATAAAAAAATCTGTTAAAAATCTGTAAAAAATAAGATATCTATATGAAAATTTGATATGATTGGTGACAATGATAAATCGCCAATAAACACCTTTAATGAAGGGCTTTAATAAGTGTGTGTCAATTACGATAAGTGCGAAGAACAATAATCCAATCATCGTATTAGCGCATTGATTGCTGCCGACAGTCATGTGCACGTGTCATACGTTGTGTCATTTTTTTTCCTTCTCTCAAACAGAAATATCTTGTTTATGCATTATTTAATTAAAGTACTTAAAGCAATAAAGTTATATACTTTTCTTTTACTTAATATAGATATTATTTTCATATTAGAATCTACACGTATCTTCAATTATCTTTTATATTGCTAAAATTCATTTTCCATAGTGATATCTTATTTTCACGTGTCACGTGATATTGTACACGGAGAACGTGGTTTAGAACGGTCCGATAAAATGTCAATTTTTACAACATTTCTAAAGGATTTAGTTAACAATATGTGGATATAAAGTAATTTCAGTATATGTGTTCTAATGTCCGATAAGAAAAAGAGTGAAAAAAGTGAACTTTTGACTGAAAAATCAAAAAATAAACGTGAAGCCACGTAAAAAGAAAAAATATGACAATACAAAATGGGGGGATTTGATAACGAAATATGGTTTGAAACAGCTTATCACAGATCCTACTAGGATAACAAAACGTACCCAAAAGATTATAGATCATGTTTATACAAACAGTAGCAGATATATTATTGAATCGTTTGTTTCTGATACCTCATTAAGTGATCATTATCCGATAGGTATTTCAAGATCAACGAAAGCATGTAGTACCCGATTGATTAATGAACATAATTCGATTAAATATAGATGTTTTAAAAACTTCAATGAAATTGATTTTCAGGCAGACCTTGTTTTATCCGATCTTGAATTAGTCGAGCACATAATAAATCCGAATGAATCCCTTAGCTTATTTTACTCCATTTTAAATACTATCTTGAAAAAGCATGCACCAATAAAAGAAAAACGTATCAAACGTGAACACCGCCCGGAATGGTTTACTGATGAGATAAAATATCTTATACATGAACGTGATTACTATCATAAAAGTAGGGAAACATGAACAATACAAATTGCTCAGAAATAAAATAACATCAATGATTAAAAAAAGTAAAAGAGATTTCTTTAACAATGCTATTAAAAATAACAAAGACCCGGCATTTTTATGGAAAAATTTAAAGGACGTTTCAAATCTAAATAAAAAAGGTTGTATTACAATGCCAGACAGACTAGTGACAGGTAATAAAGAAATTTACGGAACTGTTAATATTATAAATGAATTAAATAAGTATTTTGTCAATATCTCGAATGTCATACATAAAACAAAGTTTTCAAATACAAATTTTTCAAAATTGAAAGAAACTTTAGACCAAAAGCTAATACATCATGAATCTAATATTGAATTAATTACACCGTTTGAAGTAAAACTTATTATTGAAAAACTGAATATTAAAAAATCTGCAGGATTAGATGGAATTGGACCAAACATCATCAAATATTGTGGAGATTATATTACACCAATAATTGCATCAATTATCAATAATAGTATTAAATCTAATATTTTCCCAGATGATTTAAAAAGAGCTCGAGTTATACCTATTTTTAAATCGGGGGATAAGAATGAAGCAAATAACTATCGACCGATATCAATTTTGTCAACTATATCCAAAATATTTGAGCGCCATATTGCCAAACAAATACACTCATTCTTTGAAAAAACGAACATTATTCATAATAAACAATCAGGATTTCGTAAAAATCATTCATGTAATACTGCACTCATAAGTTTAATAGATACTTGGTTAAAAGATGTTGACAGTGGAAAAATTATAGGGACTGTATTTTTAGACTTAAAGAAAGCCTTTGATTTGGTTGACCATGAAATACTTTTGCATAAACTTAAACTTTATCATTTTTCTGAAAATGCCGTTAAGTTTTTTATGTCATATCTTTCTAACAGAATACAACTGGTTAAGATAGGTGATCTACAATCTCAGACAATGAAAATAATTTCCGGTGTTCCACAAGGCTCAATATTAGGACCTTTATTATTTCTAATATATATAAATGACATAGCTTTCATTGGTAATGATATGAAAATTGATTTATACGCAGACGATTCTACTCTTTATGAGTCCGGAGAAAATATATCAAAAGTAGAAATAAAACTTCAAGATCATTTAAATAACATTGACAAATGGTGCAAAATAAATAATATGGCCTTAAATCCAGATAAATCAAAATGTATGGTAATAGGAACAAGACAAAAAGTAAATATTATGAGAAAATTAATTCTTAAGATAAATGAAATAGCTCTTAAAAATGTAACTGATCAAAACGTCTTGGGTATTTGCATAGATAACAACTTAAAATGGCACTTGCAAATTGACAATGTTTGTAAAAAACTTAACGGAAAAATTGCCTTATTGAAAAAAATATCGTATTTTTGCACTTTGATATGAAATTATTGTTTTACAATGCATATGTATTGCCCATTATGGACTATTGTTGTATTATATGGGGTAAAGGAAACACAAACTACATAAATAATGTTTGTTAGTTACAAAAACGAATTGCTAAAATCATTTTACAGC